ATTAAACCAAGTGCCATCCAAAGTTGAATATATTTTCCTTTTCAAATTCATAGTCTTTTGGAAAAATTGAGAGATAAGCAAAGCATTGTTTTAAATAAGTAGGGAGATAATGGTAACTCAATCTTAAAGATGGAAGAACACTTTTATCATGTAATGTCTCCCAAAGATTGTTGTTCAATATGTGACTCCATTCCTTGTAACCTACATTACAACCTAAGAGACCCCCAAGTGCTTTTGCAGCTAAAGGAAGACCGTCACACTTGTGTGCAATTTGCTTACCAATTTCTTCCAACTCTGGATGTGCACTAGGATTTTCATTTCTAAATGCATGTTTTGAGAGTAACAACCAACAATCTTCATCTGACAAATGTCTCAAGTAGTGAATAGGACCAGTGTGCACAAGGGATGCAACACTTTCGTTCCTTGTTGTCACTATGACCTTACTTCCCCTCGCCCCATAAGTAAAGGGAGCCCGTACAAGATCCCAATCACTATAGTTGTCATTCCAAAGGTCATCCAACACAAATAGGAATTTTTTCCCCCTCACTTGTTCCCTAAGTTCAACTTGAAGCAAGCTCATATCTTGAAGACTGCAAGGTTTTGAGATAATTGATTCAATAAGGGTTTTAGTTACCCTAATATCATCGAAATCTTCGGAAACACAGGCCCAAGCTGTAACATCAAAATGCTCTTTTATTTTTTTATCATTGTAAAGGACCCGAGCAAGGGTTGTCTTACCAACCCCGCCCATTCCCACTATGGGGATTACCGATATGTGGCTACTACTTGCATTATCCGATCGCAACATCCTTTTCAACTCCCTTTCATCTCTTTCCCTACCACAAGCACTAAATTCATGCTCAACAAAGGATGTTGTGGGAGTTCTTTGAGAAACTGTTCCCTTGACAACTCCTATAAGACCAAGGAGATCTTTTTGTTTCGCAAGGTGTTCTAGTCTCTCAAATATCACTTGTACCCTACCATTCATGCCTTGACAAAAAGGATTAAGAGAGGTAGATAGGAAGTTCCACACCTGGGTTTTCTTAGTTTGATATTCAGCTTCCACCTTGGAGCGCAAAACTTCAGCATCGATCTCATCCAGTAGATCCTCCGCATCAAAGACAGCGTGTTTGAGCTCGTTGAGCCACATCCCCACAGCAGGGTTGACAATCTGCTTCTCCTCTGCATCATTGAGCACTGCATGAAGGGTCAACAACGTCAGCTTCAGTTTCTCCAATAGTGAATGGTCAAGTTTTTTCCGCCGGAAGAAGTCCACGAGCTCGCCAGAAGAAACCTTGTCGCATAGCGTCCGGATGGAAGCAGAGAGAAAAGCCTCTCCGATCAAAGCTCCTGCCATTTCACTCTCTCTCTCTCTGTTGTTTTTTTTTTTTTTTTTTTTTTTTTTTTTTTCTTGTCTTCAAAGAAGTGTTGAGGTGAGGAAGAGTGATTGATTTCGTTTCGGAAAGAGACGACTTGATATATTTTCTAGTCAATGGTTCAGTGGACCTCACATGTTAATCATAGAGTCTCAGTTCCATATAATTTAACTGACAATTTCCTAGTAGTTGGTGGTCAATAGTTGAGCGGACCACACGCGTAATCATAAGAGTGTTTGTTCCCTATAATTTAAGTGACAATTTCCTAGTAGTTGGTTGGTGTGAGAGTGACAGGTTGTAGGCTTCCTTCTAACTTTGAATCATCTTCTTCTTTGTGAGTGATGCATGCATGAAACAGTTGATCATGTCTGGTGTATTGCTGAACTTAAACAAACAACTCAGTTCCTAATCATATATTCGATTCATTATTCCTCTAAATAACAGCTCGATCGAGCTTAAAATTTACAGTTAATTTGTGTGCCCTTGTTTGGTAATTAACCAGAACATCATTATTGTCTTTTTTATAATAAAAATTGCGTTGGGAGTTTGCTCTTAGACGGGCAGATACAACACATGATTAGTCAAATTGATTACCTAATTAATTAAGATTAAGATTGGGATCTTTTTCTTTTTATGTTATCATGCATTTTAATTAATAGATTGGAGTAATATAATGCATAAGCGTGTACATATGATATGAGTAAAAGATTCGGAACAAAGAGAAAGAGACAATTTTTGAGTCACCAAATGCAACAATTATTGTTGGCCATAACTATTAGGTGCAAGAAGAAAGAGACCATCACTAAAGACCTAATGAGTAATGCTAGATAGACTAGATTAAAATTTACAAATTAAATGATGTGTCATCAATAAGAAATAAGCATGTTGATCAATTGAACACGTAAGTAATAATCTAATTATCAACTTCCATGTTATTTAATTTACAAAATTTAGATTGTAAATTTAATCTCTCTAGCATTATCTTAAAGATTATAATATCTTTAATAATATAGCCTGTGGAAATCGCCTATTATTGACCAAGTCTACAGCCAACCAAGAGTCTCTCCTTGCCCACTTAATCAAAAGAATTAAACAATGGAAGGAAAAAGATAATGCTAGAGAGACAGCATACAACAACAACAAACAACAACAACAACAACAAAGCCTTTTCCCATTAAGTGGGGTCGGCTATATGAATCCTAGAACGCCATTGTGCTCGGTTTTGTGTCATGTCCTCCGTTAGATCCAAGTACTCTAAGTCTTTGCTTAGAGTCTCTTCCAAAGTTTTCCTAGGTGGGACATAACATTTGGGAAAGCAGGTTTCACTAAGAAACTGGACTAGATTCCACGGGAGGAGTAAACAACACATTGCGTTAGAAAGCATTAGTAAACATGAACTTCATCAAAAAGGGAAATGACTACCATCGAGCAACCAAACTAATGTGTATAGAGTGGACCAACAAGGACGTTAGACCACCAATGTTTCTTATGTATAACATACAAAATCTTGCAGTATATGAGCTGTTGGACACCCTTCCCTTTCAAAAAGATTTTCAGTTTTGTAAGGGCAAGTTCTACATCATGACATTTAGCAAAACCAACACTATAACAGAGATAAGCTAAAGCATTGTGTTAGAAATAAAATATGAGACACGAGAGGACAGTCAAATGGGGGTTTATACCTTGGCGCGGTGATGCTTCACTGCAACAACTTTTCAGACATTCCACCACACAATCGTCATTGGGATCCATGAAGAAAGCCACCTGAAAATATTGAGATGTTGTTATTCAGCACTCTCAATTTGTCTTTTTCAATAGATCGTGAAGTAATAATACCATTGCATTGTGAAGTACAGTCAGTATTATGAAAAAAAAAAAAATGGACAATAGGCAAATGATTACAGAGTAGCGTTCTTGTCCTGTTGGCATCACTCTATGCAGTGTTGACCTACAAACAAATGACAGAAGAGCAAATGTCTTGCAGTTTCAGAGTCCTAGATTTTTAAAACATGTATAACCACTGTAAGAAGAAAACAGACCTTAAAGTTAATAAATTAAATTAGATTAGTCCACCTCTCCATCATGTCCCCAATGTTAACAATGAATGCCTAGAGATTCAAATTTGAACACCATCAGACGGACAAAGTTACCATTCGGTTATACACAAATGCACTCTAGTAAACATGTAAGATGCTGGTAGGAAAACCAAACTCTTATTAATGGTCTAAAAGTAATAAAAGATTAAAGCTAACAAAGTGAAATGTGAATGGAACTCCATGTCCATAATTTTTTTTTAGGAAGCATATCCATATTTAAACATCATATGGCATTACATTGTTAATGGGGTATTCCGCATAATGATTGAAGAACATAGGGCAAGGGCACACAAATTATTTAGCAATCATACCATCGTTTCATGAAAATTCAAGATCTTGAACTTACCCATCTATGTGAAGAACATCTTCCCAGATTCGAGGTTTTGCTTAGATTTGTCCCTACAAACCTGTTGAGTGTTAACAATAAGTCACAGAAAAGAATATCATAATTGAGCTTGAAAGGGAACCACTAGTGTTTGGTGCTGACAAAATCCAATAAACAAAAAGCATGCCTGAAGTCCAGGAACTCCATTGGATGCAAGGAGTGTGATCATCATGCCATAATCTGAATGAGCAGAAGAGCAGCCACCTAGAATTTCTGAAATCATTGCAATGAAATGTATGCATACTCTACACCTGAAAAATCCTATTCCTTTCTCGAAAAATCATCCATTCAATCGTTTAAAGCAAGACCAGAGACAGACCTGAGACGAGCACAAGATCGATATGAATTGAAGAAGATCAATGGAGAAAAATTAACAAGGGTATGTGTGAGGTGAAAGAGGGTGTGTGAATAGCACTACCCTTTCATATACACACACACACACACACATATACGTTTATAATGAAGCTCAAGCTCCTGAACAACTATCAATTATCATTCCTGAACAACAGTTCTTACTTTACTAAGTGCAGAATGCTGGGAAGTAAATTGTTACAAAGGAGAATATAACTTACATTACTTTTCTATAGTACGATTCCACTGCAGGCCTCCAAGATGGAAGGATATCTGTATATTTCCTCAACGAAAAATTAAGAAAATTATCACATAATCAAATGAAATACAGTACTCAACATCAAAAAACTTCATTTTCAGGCAGGTTACATACTTAAACATTCGAAAATAGCTCCCATACCTTCTGGAGGCCATTGGTTCAAATTACTTTGAGTTGGGTCATCTAAAGGGCCAACATTAAAAACTCTCTTTTGAGTCACCTATTTCACAAACGTCCCAAAATAGATAAAATCAACATCCTTTCTCCCTTTTCCATTCAGCATAACTTGAAAAACTAAAGTAACGCAACCAAGCACAACAGTTTAATAGATAGTACCTGAAACATTTTTTCGAATATCACAAATATATTAACACTATTCAAACTGTTAACAAGAACATTAGCGCAACAAATTGTAACTTCAACCAACATGTTATGTACATTATAATGAATTCATCAATGAACTACATAATTATATTAAAACAAATTTAAAAAAAAAAAAAACCTAGTAAATAAAAATGAAATATCAAACATATTTACTTATCCTGATAATTTCAAAAACAATTTCAGTAACCAGGCATGATATGATCATTGTATACTAACCCATTTTTTAGTTTAACCTCCATTTGGTTTCTTGTATTTACACTTTAATCACCAAAATTTTCAGTTTTTAACTTTGTAAGCAAAGAGATTAAAGAAAAAGATGAAATGGTAGGATGATTAGCAACCTTTGGAGCTGGAAGCGAAGTCGAGATTCTCCGAAAATAGTGCGGTGTAGCCTCTGTTATGCTTGCGAGAAAATTTCAAACTTATCTTCCAAAGGAAGCGAAAAGAAGTTGCTG